CCCCCCCCCAAACCCTGAACCCTGACCTCGAACACAACTCCCAAAATAGAGCTCCTCAAAGACGATGCCTATGGGCGACCATCAAAACCTCTTGACATGCCCCACAGATACGTGGGGTGGCTTAGTGCACCCATTAGAAATTTCATCCTACAAATCCCTAAGACCTCAGCTTTGAGAAACATCCCAAACAGGCCCAGGAGCAAGGAGAAGCAGACCAGCACAGCCAAAGCCACATACCAAGGCTGAGAATTGTCAACGTTTCCGAAAGCAAACAAGAAGATGGCCTTGCACTGGGTTTCCCTAAGACTATAAACTCTACTTACCTTTGGTTAGCTAGGAATGAAGGAATGGGTCCTTGCAGTAGTCCCTATATCACCCATGAAAAGTACTTTCCATGTTCTTTTCTATTCCTTCATTCCCAGCTAAAGTAATAAACCTATATACCCACAGTTTTCATTTCATTTTCCATTTTCTTTTCCATTTGATTCTCCATTATTGGGGGGACAATACCCTGGGCTAGTTGAAAAATGACTGAGGCCAAGCCTTCAGGGTTGACGGATGAATGTGGGCGGGATATAGGGAAGCGGACTGCAAACAGCAAGAGGGCCTTGCACCCAGGAGCCGCTCCCGAAGCCCCTTACAAGGCCTCGTGGTCGCTGGTATGGGGTCTGCGATCCCTTCCCGCATTTCCTATTCCCGGTGCTTATAATAAGGGATTTGGGTAACATCAACTCCCAAAATTAGGACCCTGTGACTATCAGATGATGGCTATAGGGTCCTAATTCTGCCTGTTGGGATTAGGTGGGTGGGAGATGCCAGGGGATATTTCGGCAAACAGCCATGTGACAGGCGGTAAACTACGCTTCTGAGAAGGAAAGATTCTTCTGCCCAATATCCCAGTGAAACTTCAACCCCAGGTAGTCTGCAGCAGGCATCGGAACTTTAGCTAAATCACCCGAGGCCCTAAACCCCAAAATCTTGAATCCCTGCGCCCTGACTTTCTGAACCTCTCTAAACCTAAGCTCGGCGCCTCGAAAAAGAGAGCCAGGAACTGGGCCCAGATGCGTCCCCGGAAGGCGAAGTTTCGGTACATGAGATCGCTGGTGATTCCGCCAAGAGATCGGGCAAAGAGGTTCCTGGGCGGGGCTTTGGCAGCTAAAGCAAGAAGGAAATGGGAGGGCTTCTGAAAATTGATATACCTGAGAATCCCTAGGGATATGTTGGGATGGTCAGGCAATGGCAAGGGTCCCTACAAGGTCCTTCATAAGGATTAGGTAGAGATCATTCTGCAAACCTTCCGCACATCCTAGGTATTGCTTAAAGATTATGAGGGGGTATGTCCAAACCCTAAACCCTAAACCCTAAACAGGAATTATGATGGGCATCCATTCCCTCATCCCCTACTGGCTACCCACTAGGGTTTACGGCTTAGGTCACTGAAATCGCACTCTTCTAAGCCCACCGAGCTTCATAAGCCCGAATGCTCCAGCCAACGCCGCTGCGTCACCTGCTGCCATCTGGAAGTAGGTCCTGTCAGTCTAGGACAAGTACAGGGGGTGGAATACCTGATTTAATCCTTATATCGCCAATGCATATCCCCACCCCACCCCAGACGTAGGTCCTGCCAGGGTGCCGCCGTGTTATTTAGCATTAGGCATTATGTCTGTGGATTAAGGTTGAGGGCGCAGAGGTCCTGGCTTCATACAAAACATTAGTGTTCATAATGTTAATTCTATGAACTATAATCTAAACTCCTAGTATCCGCCTGAATAACCTCATAATATTCCGCTATAAAACCCCCTTTACGGAGTTGAGACTATAGCTCATATGGGTTTAGGGTTTAGGTTGAACCTGATGGTACCTTGAATGTTTCCTACCCGCCCTCCTTGGACCCCTTTGGCTTACTTTTGGCTAGCTAGGAATGAAGAAATGGATCCTTATAGTAGTCCCTATATAACCCAGCATGATAATGCCCATTTTCTTGTCCATTACTTCATTCCCAGCTAGCCAAAGGTAAGTTGGGTGGCATAAAGGTTTCCAGAGTCTAGGGTTTTGGCAATAGGGTCCAGTATGGTAAAGGGGTGTGGGGTTAGGGTTGAAGGTTTACGGTTTAAGATGCATAGGGATTTCAAGTTTAGAGTTTAGGGTGTAAGGGTTAGGGCTTAAGGTTTAGGGGTTTAGGGGTTTAGGGTTTAGAGTTTAGGGTTTAACGGTTCTTTTGGACCCTTTTTTACGCGACCAGGCGTCTAATCTGAATCTGTCTTGTTTCCCAAAATGAGATGCATGCCCTACGTAATCCATAAATTGGGCCCGCAAACCCTGCGAAACCTACACGCTGAACCCTTCCCTTAGGTGTGATGCCCACCCTCAGTCCTGAAATGAGTTGCCAGCTGGTTGTTCCTGAGTATGAGGGCAGATGGGTAGTTTCCAACGTGAAGGTCTGTGTGTACGCGCAGAAAAGTGGCGCAGTAGAATCTGGCACCAAAAATAGCCCATAAGGTTAACAAAAACTGATCATGAAGAACATTTTGCACCGAGTATGGTCCCCAGTTTTCCTCGGGGCTAAGGATGCCAAGGTTTGCAGGAGTTCCCTCATCAGAGTTTGATTTGAAAGCAAGTCCCTCCCCTTGACATGTAATCCTTCATGGTGCATCTCTTCTGTAAATACTAAGTAACGAAGACTATGGAACTTTGGAGGATTCCTAAACCCTAAACCCTAAACCCCTAAACCCCTCCATTTCTCGGGGTAGAATCCTCAACTTAAGTTGTTGTAACTCCCTCACACCCTATACACAGCCCGTAGAACTCTTTGAGCTTCAATCCCTACATGAGCTATAAGCTAAACTCCGAGTATGGACCTTAAAAGCCTCTATAGTGGTACCCTGAATAATCCCTTATATGTATATATCCCCCTTTACCAAGTTTAGATTATTACGTGAGGTTTAGATACTAGAACATGCTGCAGTGTTCGTGCAGGCCAGGTGCATGGCAAGCTCAGTTCCTCAGCTGTAGCAGGTCCCTCTGTATAACATCCTGACTTACTGGGGTTTGGTAGGGAATAAGGGAAGATAATATATAATCCTACTAACCCCCAATAAGCTGAACCCCCGAGAAACATTAGGTGCAGTAGTATAAGCAATATCCAAGATGGGACCATAATTATGCCAACAGCCCGCGTGATTGAGCCCACGATGTCTAGCGATATACCACCCTAGCTGCTTCTCATCAGCCAGGCCCCATAGCAATGGTGCCACCTTCCCCTTTGTAGTGGACCTTCCCACCCATCCAGTAATTGATGAGTTCTGCCCATTTTGCAATGACCCTCTATTGGGACTGTCCATCATTCCGGGGTGGGGGTTCTAGTGCTACCGGCAGGTCAAGATACTAATACCGAGAAAGCATAACCCTGGATGGATGGGCTAAGCATGAAGCCTCTTCCTTTTCAAGGGGTTGTAACCATACCTACTATAAGGTTAGCTAAGTGTGTCAAGCACGTGCCGAGGAACCAAAGCATGCGCTATACTGGAAGATCATAACCAGCACCCTCACGTCCTTGAGCACCTGGGCAATGGTTGCTCATGTCTATGTTTCTTTTCAGCAATCCCACGCACCCACACATGATCGTGAACAAAGCCCACGGGAGTGGGGGGGGGGAATGTCCACATATTGGGAAAACCCGGTGAAAAACCAGCCTCGACGTAGTCCCACATGGACGGTTTCTGGGTCTTGCCAGTGATCGCGGGATCATAGTTCTTGCCGGTCGGCATGTCCCAGCCTAGAGTGTGAGCCCTTTTTTGCTAGGATGTTTTTGGATCAGGATTGCTGGTACTGATGATATAGGGTTTGTGATATACATATGTAATTATACGCGCTTACATGGGCATACGTATACATATATATATATATATCTATATATACGTATGTGTATATGTATATGTGCCCCTTCTTGCGGCTTCTTTTCAAGGTTTGGGTTTAAGCAGGGCTATATGAAGCAGGGCTCATATGCGAGCGTACGGGTATTGTAAACCTTCTTTGGGGCAGACAACTATGACTTCCCTTGATGTGAGGGACAACTGACACATATGCAACAAGTGGGAGCAAGCCTAGGATATTGGCTCCAAAGTGCGTGAAACTAGCATTGCGACCTTTAGTAACAAAAGGACCCCCAACATCAGTTCTTGCATCCGGCTTATGCAGCTAGAAAGGAGTGAAAGAAAGAATGGATCACGCTGCGCATCCTTACATAAGGTTTCCGATCAAACATCCTATAACACACCTGTGCATTCCTTACTTACTTACCGCCGGTACGGCAAACATCTTTTACCAAAAATAAACAACTGACAGAAGCTTGCTCATGACATCGCAAGTTGCATAGAAGCTTCATGCAGATCGCACAAATGATGAACATCACGGCGGGCACCACCATGGAGACACGCCAGGCCACGTTTGGCTCAAGGCCCGCTTCAACCATTGGATTAAACAAGACGGACATCATAAAAATCTGCGTCACACCACCGCC